TTAAACCGATCCTAACAATAACTAAGACATTAAACCACTAACAATAACCAATACGTTAAACCAATTCTAACAATAACTAAGACATTAAACCACTCCTAACAATAGCCTCTACATTAAACCAATCCTAAGAAACCAGACCAACCCAAGGCACATTGCACCCCCCCCAGCTCCTCCATTACCCACGGAGGGGCTGCGGACCCCCGAGCACTCAGCGGGGCAGGAGGCGGCTGCAGAACTCCCGCCGGCTGCGCTCTCCCGCCCGGAGCCTGCTCTGGCAGCGAAACTGGCGCAGCTCCTCCTGGAAGGCCCCGTGCTCCATGGGCCGATAGTCCTGGGGTTCGCAGTGTGTCTGGGAAGCCACGGCCCTGTCACCAACCACAGCGCAGCCCTCGGCTCCCACCCAGCCCGGGGCAAACCCAGCGCCTCCGGCCCCCCGGCTCTGGAGATCCCGCCCTCCCGGAGAATGCTCAGAGCCACAGCTCCCCCTCCCCGCTGGGCTGGGCAGGGCATACGGGGTTCCAAGGCGTTCCCCCCTCATATCCCCAGGCCTCGCCCTGCTGACAGGGACCCCCTCCCACAGAGGGGACACAGTGGGGGCACTCACCGGGTACTGCAGGAAGAAGTCCCGGTACCCCCCCTTCAGGACATAGAGCTCGGGGTAGTGGAGCTGGGGGTACTCGTGACAGGAACGATCCTTCTCTCTGAGGAACTGGCACCTGGGACACAGGGAAAGGCCACGGGATCATCGCGTGCCAGGATCTGGGCGTGCCTGGGGGGCTGGCAGAGCCCAATGCCTCCCCCTTCTCCCTCCCCCTTCCCCCCTACCCCGTTGCCCCACTCACATTTTGGGCCCGCGATGAGCAGAGAACTCGCAGTGGAAGATGATGATCACCCTCTTGCTGGTGTCCAGGGGCAGGATGGGCTGCTCCAGCAGGAATTGCTCCACATCCCGCTGCAGGGGCAGGTTGACAGCACCCTGGGGAGGGACAGGAGGCACCTTTTTCCCCTTCTGCCTCCCATTTCATCTGCAGGGACACAAGGATGCTGCCCCCAGTCTCCCCCCGCCACCACCATCCCCCAGCCTACTTGGGCACCATCCCCCTCCTCCTTCTAATTGAGGATAAACCCCTCCGAGTGGGCTTGGCACTGCTGAGGGGCCTACTCGACCCCTCTGGGGAACCCTGGTGACCCTTGGGGGGGCTCTTTAACCCTGCTGGGGTGGTCTCAGCACCTCCGGGGGGGACTGCTCGACCTTAAGTGGGGGTCTCAGCACCTCTGAGGTTTGGTGGGTTTCAGATACCCCCCTTCCTCCCAGCCCCAGGGGGCACAGGAGCCATTCTGACCTTGATGTGACCCCCCTCGTACTCATAGGGGTACCGACAGTCCACGGTGATGCTGCTCTCGATGAAGCTGCTCCACTGCCCTGTCAGCACGGCCACCAACTGCAGGGGGAGTCTGTCACCAAGGGGGAACACCTGGGGGGTGGTGGGGGAGGAGGCAGGCAGCCCCACAGGGGGGCTGGGCAGAGGCTGCTGGCCCCTTACCGTGTCAGGGGAGATGTACTTCAGGCTTGGGTCCTTCCCCTTCACCGTCGGCAGGAGGTGAGCCTGGAGGAGACCATGGGCTCTGGGGTCATATCCATCCCAGGGACACTTCCCAGAGGGTGTCCCCTGTTCCCCCAGCCCAGAAGCACCCCCAGCTGCCAGCTCTGTTCCCAGGGGAGGGGGGCAGTCTGCCCAGGGCAGACGTGCCTGTGGCACTGGGGTGGCTCCAGAGGAGCAGGGATTGGGCTCTTCATCCACTCTGCGGGCTGCAGGCTGGGAAGTCACAGCCCCAAGGCCCCGTGTCCCCAGGCAAGGGCCGCCAGGTCAGTTTGGGCTCTTGCACTCCCATACCTGCCCCATCCTCGTGGCCCTACCTTGGAGAAGTCCCCAATGAGCTCCTGGTCATTGCTGTCCAGCAGGCTCCTGATCTCCTCATGCTGGGCAGACCTGGAATGCTGCAGCCCCTCTTCCTGTGGGAATACAAAGCAGAGCCCCCCCGATGTGAGCAGGGGCTCCAGCAGAGCCGGGGCATGGCACAGTCCTGCCGAGGACAGGCTGGATCTCCCCCCAGGGCTTCCCCATCACCCACTGACTCCAGCGATGCCTCCTCGCCGGGGGTGCTGGCCACCCTCCTGTGCTGCTTGGCCTTGACAGGGGTGTCCCCATCATAGGAGTGTCCCCGCTTCAGGATGGATCTGATGGCCCTGCTGGTCCCCGAGGGCGAGCAGAAGAGCTGCCGGCACTTGTTGCGCTTCCCCAGATGCTGCGGGGAGAGCCCGTGTGGCTGTCTGGGGATCCAGCAAGCCCCCAGCACCAGGAGGGCAGGGGACGAGGCCCCACCTGGAGAACCCTGTGGGTGCAGTTTGGGGCTCTGTCCAACCCCCAAGGCTCCCACTTACCAGCTCTGCCTCCTCCTTCCTTGTCATCCTCGTGGTCAGCACGTTCTCAGTCCCATGGGGCACGGTGGCATCACTCTGCCAGGGTGGCAGCCGAGGGAGGCACAGGGGAGAGCAGAGGAGATGGTGAAGGGAAGAAGTCCTTCTGGCTGCTTCCCAGCCCCAGGCAGGGATGGATCCCATGCCCAAGGTCCATCCATCTCCACAGGCACAGGACATGGCCCACAGCTCAGCAGTGGGGCCAGCCCCATGCCTGCCTGATCTGGAGACCGGGTATCCCCATGACCCCCCCAGCCCCTTCATCTCCAACATCCACAGGTCTCCAGGGCAGGCGGGGAGGTTGGAGCAGCAGCTCCCATCTCCAGCCCCAGGATCCCTCAGCCCCGGGTCCCTCCCGAGCCCTCCAGCCCCTTTCACCAGCAGGCTGGATGTGGAGCAGGGTCTTGTGGCCAGGGGGTCCGTCCTGGCAGCCCCATGGCCGGCGGCCAGCCGGCTCTGCTGATCCAGCGTCGGCAGCTTCTTGGGGACAAAGCCCTCCTGTGTGTGTGTGTGGGGGGCACAACGTTAGCGTCCCTCTGCCCCTGCCCTGCACTCCCCAGGCCTCGCTGTCCCACTCACCTCATTCTTGGGCTCCCTCCGGCCCCTCCGCACTCGGCCCCTGCAGACGTTGAACTCCCTGGAGTGGGAGATGTCCTTCAGGATCGGGCTGGATTCCAGGAGACACGGCTGTGGGACAGGGGAGGGCTGAGAGGTGCTGCACTGCCCCCCCCCCTCCCCTGGCTCCATCCTGCTCCTCCCAACTCAGCCAGGGATAGAGCAGGATCCGGCCTCCCTATGCTCAGCCCTGCAGAGCCTCCAGGACTTACCGGCAAGGAGCGGATCCTCCGCAGATAAAGCTTTGCGCTGCAAGAGCAGGGAAAGAAAAGGTTTCAATGAGAGCAGGTGTCCTGGAACAGCAGTGTGCCACCTCTCTGCCGAGGTTCCCTGTGTCCCCGAGGTCCTCCTAGAGGGGTGAGACCTGCCCAGGGCTGTCCCAGCTCCCCAAAGGGACCCTGGGAGAAAACCACATCCAGGCACTGAGCAAACATCGATAGACTGACCAGGGCCCCAGGAGGGGAATGGGAACAGCCTGGGTTTTAGGTCTGGGACAGGGACAGCCTGGCTTTTGGGACTGGCACACGGACAGAGCCCCTTCACTTACCCTTGGAGAACTCTTCTCGAATTCAGGATTGCTTTCTCGAAGCTGTGGGCAGAGGAGAGCTGGGCTTAGGGGGGGTGGCACTCCACGTCCCAGCCCAAGCAGTCCAGGTTCTCACCCCCCAGAAAAAGTTTGGGGGAGCACAGCTGGATGCTTAGGCCCCCAGCAAGGCTGAGCCCGGGCACTGCTGCCCATGGGAGGCAGGGGAGGGCGAGGGGGTGTCCCCGGGGGGACGTGGGGATGGGGCACTCACACTTCCTCCGCCACCGCCGCCGGGTCGTGCTGTGTGGGGGAGTCCAGCCCCAGTCCTGCGGGAACAAGGGGCAGGGGTAGCGCCGGGGTGGGGATTGGGCTTCTGCCACCACCCCAGGGCTCTTGGCAGGATCCGGCCGGGCAGGGAGCCCCCCACATCCCGACTGTGCTCCCTTCTGCTGCAGCCAGGGCCAGAGAGGGACCACGGCCAAGGGCAACGGCTGTGCCCTCACGGGGGACCCTCAACCCGCCCGCTAGGATCACAAGGCGGGTGGCACCGGTCCCACATGGAATGTCCCATGTCTTCCCGAGCAGGGACCCCAGCGGGGTGGTCCGTGGCTGAGCCTCAGGGAGCAGAGCTGGCGGCTCTTGCCCATTCTCCCCCAGAAGCCCCCGCCTCAACCTCCCTCGGCAGCCACTCGGCCAAGCCCTACCTCCACATCCAGGGACCCCCTAACACTCCCCTCAGCACCCTGTGCACGACCCCCGGCTCAGGGGGTGGTAGGGGGCGGTTGTGGGGACGCAGCAGCTCCATCACTCACCGGCATCCGAGGGCTGGGAGCAGACGGAGTCCCGGGCACAAACCGAGGCCACCGGCTGCGGGGACAGGGTGAGCGAGAGCCGCGGGAGGGGCAACCCCCCGCCCCGCCTCTTCGGGGTGTCCCAGAGTCTGCGGATGGTCGGGAGGGGAAGGGTCAGTGCCCCGGGGTGCCCGTCGGCCCTTCCCCGGGGGAGTGAAGGCAGCGGAGGTTCCTAGATCGTCCAAACGGCCCGGCATGGTGCCCTCCACCCCCGAGCCCCACGTGGGAGCAGCCCGTGTCCCCCCTGTCGGGGGAGTCCCGCGTGGGGCGGGCGGCCAAAGCCCCTCGCAGCCCCCCAGTGCGCCCCAGCCCCTCACCTGCCCGGCTTCGCCGGGTGTCCCGCGTCCAGCGGCAGCGGGGGGAGCGGGGACACCCCCGGGGACGTGCCCTCCAGCCCGGGCAGCCCGCGGCCGCCGCACAGCGCCATGGCCGGGGAGGGATTGGGTGAGCGAGTGTCGGTCTCCGGGAGCGCCTCGCCGGGAGCGGAGCTCGGGCTGTGCCGGGGCTGCGTCCGGTCCGGGGCCGGCACGGGACAGGTACAGTGGAGAGTGACAGGTGACAGGGACAGCTCAGAGCTGTCAGTGGCAGGTGACACGCTCAGCTCACGCTCAGCTCACACTCGGCTCACACCCGTTTCCTTCCCATTTCGCTCTCGTTTGGAACAACAACGAAACAACAACGAAACAACAACAACGAAATAACAACACCGGGGACGCCGCAGCCAATGAGAGGCTGCCTCGGGGCTTGGGGGCGTGGCCGAGGCGGAGGGGGGCGGAGCCATAACAGAAAAGGGGCGTGCCCGGCCCGGAGCCGCAGTGCCAAGGGCCCTGCCGCGGGTTCAAGGAATCGCTGCCGGGCTGGAGGTGCGGCTCTCCCGGCTGTCGGGCTCCGGAACAGCCCCTCCCTGCCCACACCGTTTTTTTCTTCTACTTTCCCCACCCAGCCTGGATGTTCTGGGCTGGGATTTACACCAAAAACGCCCCATGAGAGCTTTCCAGCCACGGAAAACCTGTCTTCTGTCCTGAGGCTTCTATAGCAAAGCTGTTTTTTGCCACATTCTTCTTGGCTGTTGCTGGTTATTCATAGTTGTGCCTTTCTGCTATGCATCGGGTAGGCTCGGCAGGATTCCAGTATTCCAGGGAAGGGATGATGCAGGGAAGTGGGAAGCAGGAGCCCTGTACTAGTGCTGGCCCCAGGCAATCCTGAGGCAGCGTCATCCTTGGCCCCACATGTTGCCTAACATTGTAATTCAAGTCGTTCCTAGGGGTCTTTCTATCGCACCTGTTGGATAATAATGAGAACTGGAAGGTAATTGCTCTGCGAAGAATTAGTATCTTAGGCTTGGAAGTGACTGTTACTCAAGAAAGCAAAGCTGAAATCTTGGAGGTGGGATTTTTTTGGTGGAGTTTCTTTTTTTGTGAATGGTCTTCTCTGTTTACCCATAGAAAACTTTCAGTTCTGTTCTAAACTTTAAAAAAAGAAGAAAATCAACAAACTTCCACATATGCCTAAATGTACTTGATTTTTTTGCTCTTGCTACCGTGCCATTGACATGAGGCCCTGGTGTTTTATTTCCAACCTGCCTCAGTTTCCCCACGGAGATGCTGAAGCAGCTGGAAACTTTTAACAAAGGTAAAGTCTTTGGGAAAAATACATAATCTGGAATCAATCCCAAGTATTTGACTGTGCCTAGCTCTTCTCTCACCTGGAGATCACACCTGCCCAAGAAGTCAAAACCCACTAGTGTCCCCCAAGGGTGATGGTTAATTATTTGTACACTGCATATTTCAACACAAATTCTAACTGGAATTTTCTCCAGCAAAGTACTTTCTTTTCTGAAAACTCTGGGCTTATGTCTTGATCTTTCAGCTGCTTCACTTGCACAGTGGGAGTCCCCAAGTTAGATCTAGTCCTAGTTAACTCAGATACAGCTTTGAAATCCAAAGGAAAGGGGGCAAAAACTGCAGGATTTTGATGAGTTTGTGAAGGCCGTCATGGAGCATCACCAACACATATTTTGCAGGGTGTTTTGAATTTTCAATTTTAATATGTCAATGTTTTGGAGTTTTTTGATTATTTCTAGGGGTTTCTTTTCCCTTACAACAGCTGTTAGACACGAGTAAGGGATAAATGAAAAGCTCGGGAACGACACAGCACATCCTTAAAAACTTTTATTAGTGTGGCACGGTGCAGACTGGAAGCAGAATCACGAGTCTTAAATATCCCCAACTTCAGCCTCCGGGCTGTCTCTGCCTCCAGGGCCACACCCCAGAGAGGGGTTTTGGTGTAGGAAGGAGACCTTCCTCCGGCAGCCGATGGGAGGAGCTGTAAAGATGTGCCAAAAGGATATTCTGCAGGGGAAGAAGGCAGAGGGAAACCCACGGAGACACTTGTCATGACAGCCCTGGGTGCAGCAGACCCGTGAGAGGCGCCTGCCCGTGCCTGTTCTCTCGCAGGGCAGGAGAACGGGACATTGTTCCCTGCAGCATTATCTTTGGCCCTATTTCTGCATTCCCTGCTGGAGTGCGAGGAACAGAAGGACTAGAAACAGTGCAAAATAAGATTTAAAAAGAAAAAAAAAAGAGTCTGCCTGTGGACCTGAACTTCGATTTCAGCCAGGACTCATTGCCCCTTCTCAATTTCCCCTTCTGTGATGGTAGCAGTGTCACTGTTACACTAAGACTTGTGTTTGTTCAGTCCAGGAGACTCCTGAAATTATGATATAACAGTACAGATACAATTGGGGGAATTGGGGGGAAAAAAAAATAAAATTCTGTCCTAGTGTATTTAACTACAGTTAAGGCAGCATCCCAAATACCTGCTTTATTACCAGATGTGCTAGAAGAAGCAGCTAATCCCCAGTTTCTCAGCCTTTATCCACCCATAGATGACTTGTGCTTTTCCTACCGGGATCCAGCCTGAGCAAAGCCTGCACAGCCCCAGCCGAGGATAACTAAAGCTCACTATATTCCAGAACACTTAAGGCATTCACTGCAATGTTAAAAATGCTAGCACATAACAAACTCTTCAGAGAGTTACAGGCACTATGTGGAGATTATGTGCAAAAGTCTGCAGAAATTTTTTTTTTGGCATTGCTCTTCATTGATGGAATATATTTCTTGCAAATAGAAGCATTCTTTCCTTCTGAACACTAAAGGAAATTTAAAAAGTCAGACTATATGAGTCTAATGAACTGAATGGGTAAGGGAAAGAAACAAACCACCCAAGCCTACTACTGGGGAAAAAGGAAAGATGAAAAAAAAGTCCAGCAAGTATCGCTGTACAAAAACCACCCCGAATAACCATGTGCTTTCAGCATCAGCTTTTGTTCTTCAGGAGTAACTATCCACCCACAGAAAGAAGACATTTTACACGATGTGCCAGGATCCTGGGGGGAAGAAAGCCAAAGAAAAGTCAGTGCTCATCTTCTGTGACCTGGAAATAAACCTCACAACATAAATCTGGGCTTCATAACATGAGCATGAGTTGTCTTTGTGGTAGCCCAGAGAAAAAGAAATCTCACCTGATAATGTTTTAATGTTTAGCTTGTTTTCTGCCTCTCAGATTTGTTGTTGGAGGACTGTCCCTTTGCCTAAAGAGAAGATGAAAGAGTGAGAAACTGTGAACTAAGCTAAAAATCTGAAATCAAACAGTGAGACACTCATCAGAATCACAATTCAGACACAAATATCATCTCTGAAATACAGAAAATTTAGTCACAGCTCAGAACACCCTCCTGAAGAAGAGTTAGAGACATCCTCCAATTTTACAACCAGAATTCTAAGTCAGTCAGTTCTGTTGTTACACAAAAGACACCTGTGGTGATTTCACAATAACAATGAGAAATCTCATTAGTTGGCATGTGAAACTTAAGATTTCCAGACCAAATCTAACCATCTGGTTCAGGCATCTACCTGCATATCCTTGTGAGAGAACAACGTGATGGGAGAAGTTTCACCCTTACCTGAATCCTTTTTCCGTAGTTCTGGATGACAAAAGCCAAGCAACCCTTTTAATCTTTTTTCTCCTTTTTTTCCTTTTTTTTTTCTTCGAATATAGAAACAGCTGCCTGCCTTTTCCCATCAGATTCACTCTGCATATTTATTTATGAATGTATGTAGGTCTTCATTAATTTAAAAAAAATAAATTATGATAGTAACTTGAGTGTGGTTGCAGGAGTACTTTCTAATCACTTTTGGAATGCTGTTGCTGAAAACTGTCAAGGAAGAGAAGTGATAAGGATCCCACCTGAGGCAGCTACAGGCATGTGAAGTGGGACTCTTAGATCAGCAAACTGGGGAAGGAGAAGCCTGTAGAGCAAGCATGCACTGCAGAAGACCACACTCTCTGAAAGATATATATTTTTTTGCCCGTTTACTGCCAAGTTCCCTTGAAACAGACAGAAGCCTTTCTCCTATGAGCATGTTTACAAAAATTATTCAATTTTGACCTATTGATGTAATATCCTCCTCAGAATAACAGCCATGTGATATGAATCTAAAATCCAGCTGCCCATCTTGTATGTTTACAGTGCCTGGTAACCACAACTATCCACACTATAGTATGTGTGTTTATACCGTTTTAGGGTCTCTGGGTTTTCCTTTGTCCTTTGAGGTTGTTTTAGTCGTTGTGGTTTCCTTTCCGCTTTTGTCCTACACTCCAAAGAAAATAAAATAATTACAGTTACAAAGAGAATAGAGCATCAAAGCACAGCTAATCATAACCAACACCTAAAAATGGACAAACTCCTAATTCTTGGTGTCTTGCAGTGTAAGCTTAAGGAAGCTGCTGCAGAATTTTACTTGGGAACTGGTTACGTTTCCACAGCTCCATCTGACCACGGGATTTAATTTTTGGATAGCTACTATACTAGTTTGTTCAAAGATCTATTGAATTCAAGCTTTGTTAATTCTTACTCCTCACAGGAGAAGCAGGAGGTCCTTGCAGGAGGAAACAGGGAGGGATGAGCTGGGAGAGGCCAGCAGAAGATGACAGACAAGGGCAGCTGCTTTGCTCAGCAAACCACTCCTTCTGCCTGCAGGTGAGGGACCAGGGCATGGGCTAGAACACATTACAGACATGCTGGGAGAAGTCTGAATGCTGTTTGTTGGCTGTGTTTAAGAGGATTATATGTCAAATAAATGTTCTATTTCTCATTGCAAGATCTCTCCAGTCCATACCTTCTGCATTTTTCTCGACAGCTCTACTGTTTTCCCTAACACACCTAAAACCCTCTCCTGTTCCCAGCATTTCTCTCTACAAAACCCTCTTGAAATGCTGCTCAGCTCCAGCCTACAACCATTGCTAGGTAGTGCATGCCATCACTGATGAAAGGTTTCTTTGCCTCCCTACAGTTGGTGGATGCTCTAATCTGTACAAAAACTGTTATCCTACTTCTCTGCTCAACTTACCTCTCCAAGCCTGTCTTACCTCTCTGAAAGACTCTAAACACCACAAACCTTCCTTCTAACAAATATTTAGTACACAGCAAAATACATCAAATCTCCATTTCCAGTAGTAAGACAATCCCTACATCTGGACAGGGCTCCTGTAAACCTAAACTGAGCTATTGCAGCGAAAAGTGAGGAGTGAAAAACTTATTTTCCAAGTTATTAGCAGAAAATGTCCTACCTTTGAGTGCTGTGGTGTAGCAGGAGCATTTGCACAAGTGTCAAAGTCACCTGATAAGGCATCGATAGCTGCACTGTCATCTCTAGGCTTCTGCAA